TTTTGTTTTACAAACTGCTGCACGAAAGGGGATAGTAAAATAGACATAATGAAATTTAACAACAGTTTTTAAAAATGTTCAATTACATGACAATTTAACTCGGTATACTTTCTTTTGTCCCTCAGTTTATATAAAACAACACCAAATGTAGAAGCAAATGCTACGCTTACAGATTCTCTGAACAATTTTGTTTCTTACATTTGAACATGAATAGTACTAAACCCAAGCTGATTTTGTTCGGCGTTGTTTAGTTAGTTGCAACATGTAAAACATTCATCTTGGGCCACGGACTGCCTCACAGTTAACTTTGTGCATGACGGATCGACAATTTCCACTCATTTAAGCATACTCCTGTACTTGAGAATAGTTTGTTTGTTTGTTGTTTAACGCCGCACTCAGCAATATTCCAGCTATATGACGGCGGTCTGTAAATAATCGAGTCTGGACCAGACAATCCAGTGATTGACATCATGAGCATCGATCCACGCAATTGGGATTGATGACATGCATCAACCAAGTCAGCGAGCCTGACCACCCGATCCCGTTAGTCGCCTTTTACGACAAGCATAGTCACCTTTTACGGCAAGCATGGGTTGCTGAAGACCTATTCTACCCCGGAATCTTCACGGGTCACTTGAGAATAGTATCAGTACCAAACTTGAGAATAGTATCAGTACCAAACTTGAGAATAGTATCAGTACCAAACTTGCAAGCGTAAGAAAAAAGAGGTGAGTGTTGAAGATATCTTGCTGCTGTTCGCGGCGATCAACGCTAGAGAATCATTTGTCTCGAATAGCCACCGAAACAGATTTGTTGGCCTAACAGGAAAAATAGTGATGAAAATTATATGATTCTATCACTGAAAATCAGTGACGACACCAGGGCCCACTTGCACAAAACGATCTTAGCGCTAAGCCTATCGTAAGCCTTTGTTAAAGTATGGGAGTTAAGATCATCTAAGCGCTAAGATCGCTTTGTGCAAGTGGGCCCTGGGCCCTGTTCCCCAAAGCGATCTTAGCTCTAAGTCGATCGTAACTCCCTTTCTTTAAAACTGACTTACGACAGTCATAGCGCTAAGATCGCTTTGTTGAACGGGGTCCAGGTGTTCGCAAAAGGGGCCAGCATGTCACTCACGAAAGTCTCGTTGAAAAGTAAGTGACCGCGAATAACCCCGTGTATAGGCCCAAGGGTGGGATAGCATCGCGCATTATGTTGACAAGCTAAGTGTCATATTTTGTACATTTCTCTTCAATAACATTTCTTGAATGACAGACCCATGAAGACCCGGGTTAGAATAAGTCTTCAGCAACTCGTGCTTGTCGTAACAGGCGACCTACGGGATCGGGTGGTCAGGCAGCGTGTGTGTGGTTGATACATGTCATCGTATCCCAGACGGTAGATCGATGCTCATGATATCAATCACGGGATTGTCTGGTTCAGACACGATTATTTACAGACCGCCGTCATATGGCTGGGATATTGCCGAGTGCGGCATTAAACAACAAACAAACAAAACAAATCTGGAATGACCCCTTTGATCATGATCCATACAATACACAAGCACTTAAACGCACACAGACGAACCCGTGGGCAGGCAGGCAGGCAGGCACGCACGCACGCACTCACACACACACACACACACACATACACAAATGCTCCGAAATATATCAGCAATTGAGAAGCGTAGACGCCACATTACGTGGAAATTCACGATTAATAATCTTCTTGTCGTACAGCTTGATTCAGAGGCTGCCATCATTGAAATTTCTATGCACAATTCCAGGTAAGATCCAAGACGAGGGAATATGTCGAAAAATATTTTGGTAAACAAAAAAACCCCGATCGCTCGGCTCGCTTCTGATGGAGGCAAATAATTCCTCATTATTACGGCAAATATTACAAAATAGATTCACCTTTATCATGGCTGTTTGTAAACATGATTGGATTGAAATCCCCGAACAGAAAGCTGATCAAACACGAGGTGGCTGAGTATGATTGATTATCATCAGTGGTAAGGGAGAGAGTGTTTGAGGTGTTGCGTCACAGTCAGTGATATTACTGCTGAGTAACGCCGGCCTGTAAACTAATAGAGACAGGCAAACCAGGGGTTGATGTCATGATCACCTATCCTGGAAATCAGGGACTCTGGCATACACAGGGCACACACTGTGACCACCTGTCCTTATGATGGTCTCTTCTTATTGGGAACCGGGGTTCATTCCAATCTCATTAAAATCAGATCTAAGTTCTCGCTACCGCTAGACAAAGATCTGAGAACACCCCATTACTGGTCACGTCAGACCGACCTTGCGCGAATTTTGACCGACCAATGGAATGACTGACAAGAAGTCGACATTAGCCAATCAGAAGGCAGCTTTCTAGTGCTTTACGGCACTAATTTCAAATTGGCGACTACGCTTCGAAACATATTTTGACAAATTCTCGATTAAAAATTTGAAACCTGAACAAAAGAACATTCTGGAATGGCGAATAGATGGTCTAGATTGTATGGATTCAGTCGTTAAGCCCGTAACTATCGTTCGGAATACCCCGTGTTAAAGTTTTCGAGATTGCATGATTAGAAATCACATTCCGACTCTCACTTTCATGATCTGGTAAGCGACGCTCTGATTGGTCGGATGAAAGGTCGTTCTGACGTGACCCTAATGGTATGTCCTCAGATCTTTGTTTAGCGGTAGCGAGAACTAAGATCTGATTTTAATGAGATTGGGGTTCATTCTACCCCTGAATCCCCCCCGAGCAGATCAATACACGAGTTATTTGTTTGTTTGTTGTTTAACGGCACACTCAGCAATATTCCAGTGGTATGGTGTGTGCTTGTAAATAATCCAGTGATTGATATTATGAGCAGCGATCCACGCCGTCGGGGTACGATGACACGCAATCAACCCAGTCACCGAGTCTGATCACCTGATCCATTTGGTCACAATCTTAGTGTTTTGAACGAAACCATGTTATGCACATTAAAAGAACTATATTATAATAAATACAAGAACACAGTTATATAGATAAAAAAAAAGCCAGGTACACACATGTACGGAACACTGACTGGGCCTAAAGAACTGCAACCCTTTCAATAAACACCGACCTCTACTTAACCCCTATGCATTGAATTCATGAAAGAGAGAAGAAAGGTCGTATGGACACCAAGTATGATTAAATATATCGAGAATATCGTGACGTCTCTAACCGCTAACTTGGTTCAATCGGATCCTTGCTTTATGTTTTTTTTAATCCAATCTAAATATCATGTGACTTTACCCTTTACACACAAGTGTTCCGAGTGAAGCATTTGACGATTAGGATTTATTTCGCAATGGGTAGGGGCAATGGGTAGGGGCGTGCGTTGGGAGGGTGGTGGTGATTGGTGGCTTTGGTTGTGATGATTAGGGTGGGCAGTTTTTAATTCAAGTACATAATCATCTGATGACTAAAACGGACACCGAGACTCAGCACACTGTTTAAGACCCCAAGTCGATTCATCCACTTTTATACACTGGTGATGGGTGTTAACAGATTTACCAGCACACTCTCACAATGAGTCTCTTATACACGCGGCATTGTTGAATAATAAATGATATGTGGTTTGAAAATCACAGTAGAGTCTGTATTGACACACCACAATATGACGTTATTACACAAGAGCGAGTGAGTATGGTTTTACGCCGCTTTTAGCAATATTTTAGCAATATCACGGCGGCAGGGGACACCAGAATTGGGCTTCACACAGTGTACCCATGTCGGGAATCGAACCCAGGTCTTCGGCGTGACGAGCGAACGCTTTAACCACTAGGCTACCCGACCGCCCCTATTACACAAGAATATGTTTGCGAAATGTTGACATTAACAGTGACATATTCCTTCTCGACCCAGTGTTGCAAACGTACAGCTAGCGGGAATGTCACTGTGTTCGCTCGGTCCAGATGTTTGCTGGCGTTGTCAACGTTAGCGTTCACGTGCCTACGTAAATATACCTTATATGGACCGAGCGTTATCTAAGGAGCAACCCAGCCTTGACTCAGTTGCCATCACTACACTTATCACATTCAATAACCTGGGGAACAGGAATTCCATCTAGTGAACAGAAAAAATATTTACCGCAAGAGACGGCAAAAGTATGAAGCGAAATGTAAAATAATTCGTAATATGATAAAATATAAAATTCACAGAAATGTTTAGGGACCTACGGTTGTTAATACTTATATAAATTACAATGTTCGATCCGTTTAAAGAATATACACTATTTCGTCTTCAGTACTTCGCATTAACAATTATCTCCACTTCATCAATGGACCATGCCGTCTCCCCGCACGGTGTTGTTGTGTGGACGTTGCTAATGCCGCGCCTAGGACGTCATTACTGTATGTTTGAGGCGATGCAATGTGATCCCTCCGTGCATATTCAACAATGTCAACAAACTACACCTTCAAGCTTTTACGTTGAGTTTACCCATTCAGGACTAGTCCTTTTGATAACGTCCTCGTTTAGTCAACACATATTTCAACATCGCATTCTCATTTACTGGCTCCCCTTGATCAGATCTTCAAACACGGTTTCTCTATAGCCAGAGTCACCTGAGATCATCAATATCTTCACCTAAAAGGAAAACTACAGGTAAATGTGATTCTGATTCAAACAGGCCAGCCTACAGGTGATTGGTTGAAACATGCGGTGAGACCTCGTCCCACTGCCATCGTTTACTCAGCGGTATATAATCCAACATGAGCGTGCAAGGTCTTCAAAAGAAGGTAATTTTAAGAAAGGAGAACACTGATCGTTGAGAGAGCAGAATGAGACAAAATAGCAAAACACACGTGGTGTTAATGCAGTTAACCTAGGTAGCAGAAACACTACTACATGACATGTGTTAATAAGATCATATTCAAGCTACGGTAACCATTACATTCATCGTCGGGAGGAAAAAAACAAGTTTGGAGAAGTATTGTTTCAAAATTTAAAATCATTTTTTTGAAATGATCATGGAACGAAATAGAGGCCGGCTGTATGTACTGGTCCTTGTCGTTGGTCTGGTGCATGTTTCGCAGGGTGTTACCTGTCCTGCTGAGTGTTCTGTGTGTGAGAATGATCCTGGGACAGGGGACATCATAGCTGTAGAGTGTGCAGGTTACAGCCCCATGAACCTCGACACATCCATCAAAGTTGCCAAACTTTCAGATTTTGCATTGCGAAGCACGGAGGTGACTATGAACTACTTTCAAGGAAAACCAAATCTGGAATATGTTCGGATGAAAAACTTCGGAATTGAGACATTGGCTTCAGATGTGTTTACTGACACCACGGCTCTGAGAACGCTGGATCTGAGTGTGAATAACATGGTTACAATCACCACAACCACGTTCCTCAGTTCTCCATCTCTAACGGAACTAATCTTGGACAGCAATTCCATATCAACCATAGACGACACCGCGTTTAGCACCGTAAGTGGCATACAGAAACTAAATTTGGCGAATAATAACATTTCGATCCTGAGTGACAATGTATTTTCTGGTTTAAGAAATCTGATAGAGCTAGATTTGTCGAACAATAAATTCACTTCTATCAATGGTGTTGCCTTGTCGTTGGCAAGCACTCTCGTGTCCCTGGACTTGTCGGGCAACTATCTCGTTTCTTTGGATACCCTCCAGTTCAGCAACCTGGCCACTCTCTCTCTGCTCAGCATTCAGAAGAATGACATATCAAGCATTAGTGTTGATGCCTTCAATGGCACATCACTGGCATATCTGGACCTCTCAAACAACAGTATTCAAGAAGTGCCCTTTGGTTCTCTAGCAGCAATCCAAGACACGATAAGAACTCTTAAATTGGCTGGTAATAGAATATCAAGCATTGAGGAATCCCGACTCACTGGGTACTCACTAGACCTTCTTGATATGAGCAACAACTCACTATCGTCACTGGGGCCCCTTGCGTTCGATGGCGCAGTCATCAACATCACAAACATTGAAGATAATAACATTGAATCCTTGCCAACTGATTTATCGACTTTCCTTTCTCAGTCGTCCAGTGTATATCTGTCTGGAAACCCCTGGCTGTGTGACTGTGATACAATGTGGCTGACCCAATCAGTTCGCGATGCGTCCAACAAGTTCCTGTCTGAGAATGCATCCGATCCAGCTTGTGCAAGTCCAACCCAGTATGTTGGTACCACCCTACAGACAGCTGCCCAAGATCTGGAGGTGGAATGTTTGACTACAACAACAGTTGAGACCACGACATCACCGACCTGTCCTATTGAATGTTCGAGCTGTGAAACTGATCCAATATCTGGTCAGATTGTGAAGGTTGTTTGTTCTGGAATTTCACCTAGAGCCCTACCCAACACGCTGAAGGAAATGATCCTATCTGACTATCAAGTGCGATCCCCGACTCTTGACAGCAGCCTGTTTGCTGGCAAAGTCTTCTTGGAAAGAGTGGAACTCAAGAACTTTGGTATTGAATCCCTGGCATCTGACGTGTTTTCAGATAACACTAATTTGACTGTTTTACTTCTGGAGCAAAATCCCATGTCTGTTCTTACATCAAGCATGTTTGCCAGCGTTTCCAATCTACAAGAACTGTATTTGAAAAACAACAGCATCACATCTGTTCCCGATGACACCTTCTCCAGTTTAGGAGACTTGAAGAAAATGAGCCTTGCGGGAAACCAACTGAATACAATATCTGAGAATGCATTCCGGCGTCTGAACAGTCTCCAGAGCCTGGACGTCTCTGGTAACCAACTTAGAAGTGTTAACCCAGCCTCTCTACAAAACATTGTCAGTGTGACAAGCCTCAATTTCAATGGCAACAACATAGCTTCACTGAACGTTGGTGACTTTGCAAATCTGGCAAATGTGCTGACTTTATATCTGTCCGAAAATGAAATTGCCGTGGTTGATGCAGAGGTATTCAGGGGTATGCCATTAGAAGAACTAGACATGAACAATAATATTCTTTCTGCTATACCATCTTCGGTTCAAGATGTGTCCTTCACCTTGAAGACCTTAAAACTGAGCAAGAATCGCATACAAAGTATTTCAGCTGGAGAGTTGGATAATCTGAATCTTGATCTACTTGATCTGAGCAACAACTCTTTAACATCGTTCGACACATCAATGATTGGAGGTTCCAATATAACTATGACCAACCTTGAAGGTAATAACATTGAATCCTTGCCAACTGATTTATCGACTTTCCTTTCTCAGTCGTCCAGTGTATATCTGTCTGGAAACCCCTGGCTGTGTGACTGTGATACAATGTGGCTGACCCAATCAGTTCGCGATGCGTCCAACAAGTTCCTGTCTGAGAATGCATCCGATCCAGCTTGTGCAAGTCCAACCCAGTATGTTGGTACCAGCCTACAGACAGCTGCCCAAGATCTGGAGGTGGAATGTTTGACTACAACAACAGTTGAGACCACGACATCACCGACCTGTCCTATTGAATGTTCGAGCTGTGAAACTGATCCAATATCTGGTCAGATTGTGAAGGTTGTTTGTTCTGGAATTTCACCTAGAGCCCTACCCAACACGCTGAAGGAAATGATCCTATCTGACTATCAAGTGCGATCCCCGACTCTTGACAGCAGCCTGTTTGCTGGCAAAGTCTTCTTGGAAAGAGTGGAACTCAAGAACTTTGGTATTGAATCCTTGGCATCTGACGTGTTTTCAGATAACACTAATTTGACTGTTTTACTTCTGGAGCAAAATCCCATGTCTGTTCTTACATCAAGCATGTTTGCCAGCGTTTCCAATCTACAAGAACTGTATTTGAAAAACAACAGCATCACATCTGTTCCCGATGACACCTTCTCCAGTTTAGGAGACTTGAAGAAAATGAGCCTTGCGGGAAACCAACTGAATACAATATCTGAGAATGCATTCCGGCGTCTGAACAGTCTCCAGAGCCTGGACGTCTCTGGTAACCAACTTAGAAGTGTTAACCCAGCCTCTCTACAAAACATTGTCAGTGTGACAAGCCTCAATTTCAATGGCAACAACATAGCTTCACTGAACGTTGGTGACTTTGCAAATCTGGCAAATGTGCTGACTTTATATCTGTCCGAAAATGAAATTGCCGTGGTTGATGCAGACGTATTCAGGGGTATGCCATTAGAAGAACTAGACATGAACAATAATATTCTTTCTGCTATACCATCTTCGGTTCAAGATGTGTCCTTCACCTTGAAGACCTTAAAACTGAGCAAGAATCGCATACAAAGTATTTCAGCTGGAGAGTTGGATAATCTGAATCTTGATCTACTTGATCTGAGCAACAACTCTTTAACATCGTTCGACACATCAATGATTGGAGGTTCCAATATAACTGTGACCAACCTTGAAGGTAATAACATTGAATCCTTGCCAACTGATTTATCGACTTTCCTTTCTCAGTCGTCCAGTGTATATCTGTCTGGAAACCCCTGGCTGTGTGACTGTGATACAATGTGGCTGACCCAATCAGTTCGCGATGCGTCCAACAAGTTCCTGTCTGAGAATGCATCCGATCCAGCTTGTGCAAGTCCAACCCAGTATGTTGGTACCAGCCTACAGACAGCTGCCCAAGATCTGGAGGTGGAATGTTTGACTACAACAACAGTTGAGACCACGACATCACCGACCTGTCCTATTGAATGTTCGAGCTGTGAAACTGATCCAATATCTGGTCAGATTGTGAAGGTTGTTTGTTCTGGAATTTCACCTAGAGCCCTACCCAACACGCTGAAGGAAATGATCCTATCTGACTATCAAGTGCGATCCCCGACTCTTGACAGCAGCCTGTTTGCTGGCAAAGTCTTCTTGGAAAGAGTGGAACTCAAGAACTTTGGTATTGAATCCTTGGCATCTGACGTGTTTTCAGATAACACTAATTTGACTGTTTTACTTCTGGAGCAAAATCCCATGTCTGTTCTTACATCAAGCATGTTTGCCAGCGTTTCCAATCTACAAGAACTGTATTTGAAAAACAACAGCATCACATCTGTTCCCGATGACACCTTCTCCAGTTTAGGAGACTTGAAGAAAATGAGCCTTGCGGGAAACCAACTGAATACAATATCTGAGAATGCATTCCGGCGTCTGAACAGTCTCCAGAGCCTGGACGTCTCTGGTAACCAACTTAGAAGTGTTAACCCAGCCTCTCTACAAAACATTGTCAGTGTGACAAGCCTCAATTTCAATGGCAACAACATAGCTTCACTGAACGTTGGTGACTTTGCAAATCTGGCAAATGTGCTGACTTTATATCTGTCCGAAAATGAAATTGCCGTGGTTGATGCAGAGGTATTCAGGGGTATGCCATTAGAAGAACTAGACATGAACAATAATATTCTTTCTGCTATACCATCTTCGGTTCAAGATGTGTCCTTCACCTTGAAGACCTTAAAACTGAGCAAGAATCGCATACAAAGTATTTCAGCTGGAGAGTTGGATAATCTGAATCTTGATCTACTTGATCTGAGCAACAACTCTTTAACATCGTTCGACACATCAATGATTGGAGGTTCCAATATAACTGTGACCAACCTTGAAGGTAATAACATTGAATCCTTGCCAACTGATTTATCGACTTTCCTTTCTCAGTCGTCCAGTGTATATCTGTCTGGAAACCCCTGGCTGTGTGACTGTGATACAATGTGGCTGACCCAATCAGTTCGCGATGCGTCCAACAAGTTCCTGTCTGAGAATGCATCCGATCCAGCTTGTGCAAGTCCAACCCAGTATGTTGGTACCAGCCTACAGACAGCTGCCCGAGATCTGGAGGTGGAATGTTTGACTACAACAACAGTTGAGACCACGACATCACCGACCTGTCCTATTGAATGTTCGAGCTGTGAAACTGATCCAATATCTGGTCAGATTGTGAAGGTTGTTTGTTCTGGAATTTCACCTAGAGCCCTACCCAACACGCTGAAGGAAATGATCCTATCTGACTATCAAGTGCGATCCCCGACTCTTGACAGCAGCCTGTTTGCTGGCAAAGTCTTCTTGGAAAGAGTGGAACTCAAGAACTTTGGTATTGAATCCTTGGCATCTGACGTGTTTTCAGATAACACTAATTTGACTGTTTTACTTCTGGAGCAAAATCCCATGTCTGTTCTTACATCAAGCATGTTTGCCAGCGTTTCCAATCTACAAGAACTGTATTTGAAAAACAACAGCATCACATCTGTTCCCGATGACACCTTCTCCAGTTTAGGAGACTTGAAGAAAATGAGCCTTGCGGGAAACCAACTAAATACAATATCTGAGAATGCATTCCGGCGTCTGAACAGTCTCCAGAGCCTGGACGTCTCTGGTAACCAACTTAGAAGTGTTAACCCAGCCTCTCTACAAAACATTGTCAGTGTGACAAGCCTCAATTTCAATGGCAACAACATAGCTTCACTGAACGTTGGTGACTTTGCAAATCTGGCAAATGTGCTGACTTTATATCTGTCCGAAAATGAAATTGCCGTGGTTGATGCAGAGGTATTCAGGGGTATGCCATTAGAAGAACTAGACATGAACAATAATATTCTTTCTGCTATACCATCTTCGGTTCAAGATGTGTCCTTCACCTTGAAGACCTTAAAACTGAGCAAGAATCGCATACAAAGTATTTCAGCTGGAGAGTTGGATAATCTGAATCTTGATCTACTTGATCTGAGCAACAACTCTTTAACATCGTTCGACACATCAATGATTGGAGGTTCCAATATAACTGTGACCAACCTTGAAGGTAATAACATTGAATCCTTGCCAACTGATTTATCGACTTTCCTTTCTCAGTCGTCCAGTGTATATCTGTCTGGAAACCCCTGGCTGTGTGACTGTGATACAATGTGGCTGACCCAATCAGTTCGCGATGCGTCCAACAAGTTCCTGTCTGAGAATGCATCCGATCCAGCTTGTGCAAGTCCAACCCAGTATGTTGGTACCAGCCTACAGACAGCTGCCCAAGATCTGGAGGTGGAATGTTTGACTACAACAACAGTTGAGACCACGACATCACCGACCTGTCCTATTGAATGTTCGAGCTGTGAAACTGATCCAATATCTGGTCAGATTGTGAAGGTTGTTTGTTCTGGAATTTCACCTAGAGCCCTACCCAACACGCTGAAGGAAATGATCCTATCTGACTATCAAGTGCGATCCCCGACTCTTGACAGCAGCCTGTTTGCTGGCAAAGTCTTCTTGGAAAGAGTGGAACTCAAGAACTTTGGTATTGAATCCTTGGCATCTGACGTGTTTTCAGATAACACTAATTTGACTGTTTTACTTCTGGAGCAAAATCCCATGTCTGTTCTTACATCAAGCATGTTTGCCAGCGTTTCCAATCTACAAGAACTGTATTTGAAAAACAACAGCATCACATCTGTTCCCGATGACACCTTCTCCAGTTTAGGAGACTTGAAGAAAATGAGCCTTGCGGGAAACCAACTAAATACAATATCTGAGAATGCATTCCGGCGTCTGAACAGTCTCCAGAGCCTGGACGTCTCTGGTAACCAACTTAGAAGTGTTAACCCAGCCTCTCTACAAAACATTGTCAGTGTGACAAGCCTCAATTTCAATTGCAACAACATAGCTTCACTGAACGTTGGTGACTTTGCAAATCTGGCAAATGTGCTGACTTTATATCTGTCCGAAAATGAAATTGCCGTGGTTGATGCAGACGTATTCAGGGGTATGCCATTAGAAGAACTAGACATGAACAATAATATTCTTTCTGCTATACCATCTTCGGTTCAAGATGTGTCCTTCACCTTGAAGACCTTAAAACTGAGCAAGAATCGCATACAAAGTATTTCAGCTGGAGAGTTGGATAATCTGAATCTTGATCTACTTGATCTGAGCAACAACTCTTTATCATCGTTTGACACATCAATGATTGGAAGATCCAATATAACTGTGACCAACCTTGAAGGTAATAACATTGAGTCCTTGCCAACTGATTTATCGACTTTCCTTTCTCAGTCGTCCAGTGTATATCTGTCTGGAAACCCCTGGCTGTGTGATTGTGAAAAGATATGGATGATGCAGTTAATTCGTGATTTTCCTGGAAAATTCGTAAGGTCAGAAAACACAACAGACCTTGTATGTTTTGCGCCATTATCATATTCATCTGTTAGTCTCGCTGCCGCTGCTACCAGTTTGGAAGTAGACTGCCTCACGACCACAACTACCCTCACTCCATTGACATGCCCGTCTGAGTGTTCCGTCTGTAACAGAGACCCAGGAACAGGTGACATCATCAGCGTGGAATGCTCAGGCATACCGCCAATGGTAGTACCAAACACGGTGCAGGAAATGACACTGTCTGATTACGTGATCCGAGGTGGAATAATGGATGGCAGTTTCTTGGCAGGCAAAGGAAACTTAAAGTCTGTTACACTTAAGAACTATGGAATAACAGAATTTGTTGCAGACACTTTCAAGGATAACCCTCTCATACAGAAACTCACTGTTAGTGATAGTGGTTTGACAGTCGTACCGGACAATGTATTCGAAAACATGACTTCATTACAACAATTGGGTATTACTGGCAATAGCTTGACTGAAATATCCTTTAGCACGCTGACAGATCTGAGCAGTTTAATGTTTCTAGATCTCTCCAACAATTCCTTCACATCTTTTGATACAGCATCTATGGCCACTGCCACATCCCTAATTGGTTTGAGCCTTTCACAGAACAAACTCACGTCCCTAACGTCCCAAATGTTTAGCAGCCTTCAAAGATTACAGATGTTGATTTTGTTTGACAATCAAATATCACAAATATCTGACCTAGCGTTTTCCAACACCTCATTGACACAGTTAAATCTCGGAAACAACCAGTTGACATCCTTCCCATCAGGACCTCTGAATGCTGTTGGAAACAGTCTTCAGAATTTAGATCTCTCTGACAACAGGATATCTCTACTTGAAAACTACATGTGTCCTGGTTTGGTGTTTTCGGAACTGATCCTCGCGGGGAATCGTATATCGAGCATAGCCGATAATGCCTTTACAAACTGTTCAGCAGGAATCACAGATCTGGAAGCGAACAGTTTGACCACTGTACCACTTTCCTTCAAAGACTTTGTATTACAATGTGACAGTGTGTATATCAGTGAAAATCCCTGGGCGTGTGACTGCAACAGTGCTTGGTTTGCCGAGTTTATACGTGATATAGACAGTGTGAAATATAAACGATTTGACGAAGCCCCGGATCCGGACTGTGGATCCCCGTATGACTATGAACGCATCTATTTGAAGGATGCAGCAGGAAGACTTGCAGTACAATGCCTGTCAACAACTGTTCTCCCTTCCTCTGAATACACCACGCCTGATGTCTCTTTGAGTCCCTCGATGGTAATGACAGCATCAATTACTGAGTCTGTTACACATCTGATTATTACAAACACCGAATCTCTAATGATGTCACCTCTAACAGAGACTGCAGGAAGTCCAACTGATGTCTTGTCAATTACGGCTTCAACAGACACTTACAGAGGGGTCTCTCTAGGACCATCTACTTTGCAATCATCAGAAAATCCTTATGCCATGGACACATCATCAATACAACCGTCAGATGTTCTCCTGCACACTTCAGACTCAAGGTTTTTTTCAGATTCATTTAACATTGGTGCTGTGAGCACAGTAATAGATAGTCCACAGACTGTTCCTCCATCTGATGCAACTCCACCACTTTCACAAGTCTACTCTCCAGGACCCTCTTATACTCTGGATACCTCTGTGGCAGTTCAGTCTTCAATGATGTCAGCTTATGCATCACAGACAAACACACCTGCCAGTAGCTCTGATATGTGCTCGAAGTTGGGTGCTTGTGTTGAGTCTTCCCAGTTCAGTGTCTCACCAAGCTACTCCCCTCCCTCTGTGACCGTTACAGAAATTTTGCCTGTGGAGAGCAGAACACAGTCAGATAGTGACAGTTCTTACCGACCATCTCTGTTGCCATACAGTGATTCTAGCCAGATGATCATCCCATCACAGTCGGCAAGTGACAGTCCAACATCTCGGATTTCACAAGCACCAAACAGTGATGTTTCCTCTATGTATAATCCAAGTGACTCTAGCCAGATGATTCTCCCATCACAGTCGGCAAGACTTAGCGACAGCCCAACATATCAGATTTCACAAACACCAAACAGTGATGTTTCATCTATGTATAATCCCAGTGACTCTAGCCAGATGATCCTCCCTTCACAGTCGGCAAATGACAGTCCAACATCTCAGATTTCACAAGCACCAAACAGTGATGTTTCATCGATGTATAATCCAAGTGACTCTAGCCAGATGATCCTCCCTTCACAGTCGGCAAGACTTAGCGACAGCCCAACATATCAGATTTCACAAACACCAAACAGTGATGTTTCATCTATGTATAATCCCAGTGACTCTAGCCAGATGATCCTCCCTTCACAGTCGGCAAGTGACAGTCCAACATCTCAGATTTCACAAGCACCAAACAGTGATGTTCCATCTATGTATAATCCAAGTGACTCTAGCCAGATAATCCTCCCATCACAGTCGGCAAGTGACAACCCAACATCTCAGATTTCACAAGCACCATACAGTGATGTTTCATCTATGTATAATCCAAGTGACTCTAGCCAGATGATCCTCCCATCACAGTCGGCAAGACTTAGCGACAGCCCAACATCTCAGATTTCACAAGCACCAAACAGTGATGTTTCATCTATGTATAATCCAAGTGACTCTAGCCAGATGATCCTCCCATCACAGTCGGCAAGTGACAGTCCAACATCTCAGATTTCACAAGCACCAAACAGTGATGTTTCATCTATGTATAATCCAAGTGACTCTAGCCAGATGATCCTCCCATCACAGTCGGCAAGTGACAGCCAAACATCTCAGATTTCACAAGCACCAAACAGTGATGTTTCATCGATGTATAATCCAAGTGACTCTAGCCAGATGATTCTCCCATCACAGTCGGCAAGTGACAGTCCAACATCTCAGATTTCACAAGCACCAAACAGTGATGTTTCATCTATGTATCATCCAAGTGACGCTAGCCAGATGATTCTCCCATCACAGTCGGCAAGTGACAGTCCAACATCTCAGATTTCACAAGCACCATACAGTGATGTTTCATCTATGTATAATCCAAGTGACTCTAGCCAGATGATCCTCCCATCACAGTCGGCAAGTGACAGCCTTGCGACCGCTACATCAACAAGACTTTCAATAACTCCATCTACAACAAGTGCATTTGGTACAGACCCGTCTGCTTCAGTGTATAGTGTTGCACCAGATACAACACCAACCGACTCAACCACAACAGACTCTGGCACAACCACTACAACGGATACAGCAACTGGTACAACCACTACAACGGACACAGCAACTGGTACGACCACTACAACGGACACAGCAACTGGTACGACCACTACAACGGATACAGCAACTGGTTCAACCACTACAACGGATACAGCAACTGGCACAACGACTGGTTCAACCACTAGATTGGAGACAGCAACTGGCACAACCACTTTAACGGATACAGCAACTGGTTCAACCACTACAACGGATACAGCAACTGGTACAACCACTACAACGGATACAGCAACTGGTACAACCACTACAACGGATACAGTAACTGGTACAACCACTACAACGGATACAGCAACTGGTTCAACCACCACATCGGACACAGCAACTGGTTCAACCACTACATCGGACACAGCAACTGGTTCAACCACTACATCGGACACAGCAACTACTTCCACTACTACAACGGATACAGCAACTGGCACAACAGCTACAACCGACACAACAACTGGCGCAACCACTACAACGGACACAGCAACTGGTACAACCACTACAACTGATACAACAACTGGTTCAACCACTACAACGGATACAGCAACTGGTTCAACCACTACATCGGACACAGCAACTAGTTCCACTACTTCAACGGATACAACAACTGGCACAACAGCTGCAACGGACACAGCAACTGGTTCAACCACTACAACGGACACAGCAACTGGTACAACAACATCAACGAGTACAGCCACTGCGACGACTACGACAACTACAAGTGATACAACAACTGCGTCCACAGAGAAAACATCGAACGATCCAACTAATGAAGCGAGCGCGTCCAACAGCGACGCCGCCACCATTGCCGGTACTGTGACGGGTACCGTGGCGCTCCTCGGTGCCTGTGGTGCTGTAATATGGAAGTTCAAACTGGTGGGTAAGTTGTGCCCTAAATCCACCCCAACGACGTCAAGCATCCCTTCAGGCCCCGCCCAGCCCCCAGCCACTACACAACCCCCGGCTGCCCAGTCGTCTGCTGCTAACAGTTCTGGCGGGAACAACAATGGCGGGCCTCGGAATAAACCAGCTAACAATGGCGACAAAGCGGAAAGCATGCCGGAAGTCCAGGTATAACCTCCAACCCAAACGTTTCTGATATATATGTTTTATACATAAACTTTGGGTTTGACGTGGGTGGATGCAACAAAAACACCTGGATATAATGAAATCAGTTCTAATCAGTTGTATAAGACGTCGTTTGATATTATTATCGTGTGGCGTCATTGGTCACGTTTGTTATAACTAGCATATTCTTGGCTTATAATCTCGTTATGCCCAGTTTTGATAGACAATACGCAATAAGAATAATCGCTGATGTTATTTAGTCAGGGCTTTAGCCTCATTTTAATCATAATTTATAAATCAATGTAACATTACAATTTGGTATTTATCAATATGCTGGTGTCATGCACTTATGTCCGTCCAAAGTACTGTAAATCTTGAAATTAATGCGTCTCTTTTATTTCCGCTATCCACAGTGTGAAGTGAAGGCCGTCTTTTTGTCGATATCATTTTGGAGACATACATCCGATGTTTAGTTAATGCGAACAAAGACCACTCGCATTTTTCGTATTTAATTCACTCTCGCGTTAATTTCAAGATTTACGGTATTTAATTGTGTTAAGACCAGACTATTGTCTATTGTTATTCGAACGAGTCGACTCCGAAAACAGCAACAGAGACTGTTTTTTTGAAAGTATATGTATTTCTCAGTTGTTGTTTTTACAAGAACTTCATGTTTTTATCGAGGTGTTGTTTTAAAAAGTATCACAATTCTTGTTATGAATTTCATGTATTCCTATCTTAGTAATATAAGTAATCCTGTTCGAGTTTGTTTTCCGAAATTCAATGATGGCTTACGTAACTTTTTTTTTTTTACAAAGCTTCATCCTGTGATACTAGTGGTTGGTTATATTGAAGATCAAACAAATACTATACTACTATATATCGTCAACAAAATGGCCATTATGTACATGGTCCAGCCTGCGTCTGTGATATTTTGAGTGATGTAACTGTTTCTTTGGTGTACATTATGTACAGTGAAACCCTGTTTATCCGGACGGTACTGTTCGCAGTTGAAAGATGCAATTTCTTTATTAACGGATCATTAGTATTGATGAAAGTCCTTTTGTATATGTATGTAGACGTTGACTGCAAAGTTTGTCCGGAATACTAGATGTCCGGATTAACGGGGTTTAGCTGTTTGTGTTATCTCGACCGGTGACATTACCTAGTCGCGAAGTTGTAACTTTCCCCCGCCTCTTTCATTATATGTAGCAAGCCATTGATCTAGTTTCGTATATAAATGATGTAATCACAAAAAAGGGGGAGGTTGGGGTAGCCCAGTGGTTAAAGCGTTCGTTCATCACGCCTAAGACCAAGGTTCGATTCCCCACATGGGTACAATGTTTGGAGCCCATTTCTGGTGTCCCCCCGCCGTGATGTTGCTGGAATGTTGCTAAAAGCGGCGTAAACCATACTCACTCACTCATCACAAAAAGGAGGTGTATGGATAAAACAACTTCTTTTTTTATACATACGCGTATCCGGGCCACTTCAGGCCCATCCATCAGGTGTTTGACAGGGTGGGAGAATAAACACGTTGTTAACCATTATCCTCCTTTTCCTGATTGCATCCAACTTTTAAATGCCTACAAAAACTCTCATGATATGGTTTTTGCGATAGTTTTATTCCCCCCCCCCCCCCCCCCCCCCCCACTAAAAAAAGTTCTCCCCCCCCAACACACACACACACACACACACACACACACACACACACACACACACACACACACACACACACACACACACCACCCATTGGATACCTATACAATAACCATGAAAACTTATGGGAAAAGAAAGTATACCGAGTTAGTTTTTTATGTAATTGAAAATCAAAATAATTGTTGTAAAATTTGATCATTTCTATTTAACCATCACTCAATTCCTGCAACAGTTTGTAAAAAGTTATTTGTAGCTAGGTTAGTTTGTGTAAAATTAAATTGGTTCAATTTGTTGTAAGTTTGTACCGACAAAATGTATTGATTTACAAAAACAGATATCTCAGATACCCATCAGTAGTTGTGAATAATGCGACTTTGTTTTTGTTTATTTTCTTAAAGTTTTAAATCAAATTATATTTTTTTAAATAAAACCATGTGGAAGTGTTCTTTGAGTGTTGACAAAGCGCCAGGACAGTATTTAAATATACTATAAAACATAAACTGAAGTTATTTTCATTTGAATACAGATTATAATATCAACTGAGAGGTATGGTTCTTTTGCTCTTCTGTTTAGATTTGAAATTTCAAGATTTGAATATTTGAAATGTATTTCAATATACATGTATAGTCATTGTAGGTATACTGACAGTGAAACCCGCGCAATCTGGACGATACGCGGCGTTAGGATGGCAGCATCTGTAGCGTCCTCACAGTCTAGAAACGGAGTGTCCTGATTAACGGGGTTTCTGTGTTGTTTACCTTTATTTGTTTACCTTTATTTGTTTACCTATATTTCTGTTGTTCGCCTGTGATAACCTCAACCTGTGATAAACTGTTCCTATAAATGCATGTACTTAAATCTTTTAACTTTCGTTTTTTCCTATGGAACAATGTTCTGCTTTTGCAGGATACCTTGATTAGAAAGAAGACAAAGAAATGTTTTAGCGGAATTTCAAATTATAAGCCATTTTCTGTTTTCAAGTTTGTGATTCGACATTTACGTTTTTTTAGATATTTGAATTTATCTTTCATGAACAGATGGACATTATCCTTGGGAAGTAATGAAATTGGTTAACCACTTGTTATTGACAAAATCCAAATTCGGATTAAATATTTAGTGTCAGTATATAAATAACTTGATTGCAATGTTTGGTTTGGTGTTTGGTGTGTGTTTTTGTATTTACCGAAGCGTTGGTCTCTCGTTGCCTGGGTGATTGACGACGAACATGTCGGCAATATTTGTCGGAGCTTTCAACATCTACAAGTGCTCTTTAAAGTTTGAGGCTGCTAAAGTCGATAATGTATACGAACATTAATTGTCTATATCAACCTATCATAATGGTACACGCAAGAAATACAATATCGACCCGAAGATCGAGTGACCCCGATGAATATGCATGAGTGGGATAATCCAGGGTGAAGGGAAGGATACTAAGTACGTGTGAGTTGTAGCACAGCAGCCATCATTCAAGTGATTAATATGGGTCAATGTTCAGTGCACGTATAATCAGTGTGCGAAATAGCCGCTTGCCCGCTATAGTTTGGCTAGCAAAATATTAGTCTGACAAAACATTATACAATGTCCCTACCCCTACTGGTTACTGACATGTTAACGGTTATGTTTGTTTGTGAGTGTGTGAGTGAGTGACTATGGTTTTACGCCGCTTTTAGCACTATTCCAGCAATATCACGGCGGGGGACACCAGAAATGGGCTTCACACATTGTACCCATGTCGGGAATCGAACCCGGGTCTTCGGCGTGACGAGAGAACGCCTCAACCACTAGGCTACCCCACCGCCTCTTATGTTTGTTTGTATACACACCTCTTAGTTGGTAAAAAAAAAAGATTCTCCCGTTTCTGTAGATCAATACGACTATCGAAAATCAAATTAATATCTGTACAAAAACGATTGCAAGGCTTCGAATTTGAAAGACCAGAGTGAGTGAGTGAGTATGGTTTTACGCTGCTTTCATCACTATTCCAGCAATATCACGGCAGGGGACACCAGAAAGTTGCTTCTTACATAGTGCCCATGTGGAGAATCGAACCCGGGACTTCGGTGTGACGAACGAACGCTTTAACCACTAGGCTACCCCACGGCCCCTCAAGCACAGAGTTACCTTTCATAATATTAGACTCATGATTTGCAATTTGAGTTAACTCTATTAATACCTTCGTAGAACCAGGGGGCACGGGTGGCCCAGTTGTCTAAGGCGCCGCGATTCGCTGTGCAGAGTTGCGTCCCTTGGGTACTCCAGAAACCTATGATTGTGGGTTCGAATCCCGGTTCGCCCCGATTATGTTTCTAGGTTTGTCAGCACTATACCCGTGCTCGTGGGTTTCACCGAAGTGGTAAACGTCTGACACCTGCATCACTTCGGGCTTTCCTCCCACATTAAGCTGACACGCCGCGATATAGCTGGAATACTGTTGAAAGCGGCGTTAAAGCCAACTCACTCACTCACTCACTCACTCACTCGTAGAATCAAATTTCTTGAAAAATATTTAAGCTAGTGAATTTTGAAACTGGCGAGTAACTTATAAGACTAGGTGGCCGACCTAGCCAGCAATATTTGGAGACTATTTCACACACTGCATATGGATGTAGACGAGCTGATATACATGGTACAGGTATGAGAGTGACAGACCCATGCATTTGTTTGTTTGTTAGTTGTTTAGTGCAGCACTCAGCAATATTACAGCTGTATGACGGCGGTCTGTAAATAATCGAGTATGGACCAGACAATCCAGTGGTTGATATCATGAGCACCGATCTATGCATTTGGGATGCGATAACATGCATCAACCAAGTCAGCGAGCCTGACCACCCGATCCCGCTAGTCGCCTCTTACGACAACTATAGTCGCCTTTTACGGCAAGCATGGTTTGCTGAAGACCTATTGTAACCCGGATCTTCACGGGTCCACACTTGCATGCACATAAGTAACCTAGGCTGACACGTGATCACATTGAGCTGTGCTCTACCTGAATATTCCTACCACCCCGCACTTTGTAGTGGACTCGGCCATAACATGCGTTACGGCTCGACTCGCGAACAGGATAAGCACTTCGGTGCTTGGCAGAAGTGAATATAGGCACATCAACGAAAATAGAGATATTTGGTTTTAACAACGTCTATACTCCTCGCCATGTGTTTAACTTGTTACAATGACCAAGGCCTTGTCACGAATGTTTAATTGATTCAAGAATGCAAAATCCGCCTTCATCGATAATATGGTACTGGTTCGCCCCGATTATGTTACTAGGTTTGGCGCTCGGCATTAAGGGGCTAAAACAAGGACTGGTCGGCTCGGAGTCAGTATAATGTGTCTGAGTGGGGTATTCATGTTAAACTGCGGCATGATATCTCAGTGAGCTAGTCCGGCATCATTGACACTGGCGCACATGATGGCTTCACCCCTTGCAATATGATTTTGGGACTCTCATCGAGGAGTGAATCGTAAGCTGTCATAATGAACACGGTAAGGAGTACGAGGAGGGGTATGTGCCAATGTTTTGAACAATATTTTATGGTCGCTTCTGTCACATATCGATGTACTCGTTGTTCAATTAAGGAGCAAGGCAAGAGCTCTTCCACGAGATATGTTTGATTTATTACATTGCTATAATATCGTATATATCTTCCCACCTAAAGAAACACAAAGAAACACTATCCAATTCTCACAACGCCAATCCAATTGTGGCCCAATCTCACCTGATATACTGTGTCCAAACCAGTCGATCCCATCATCTTACAACACAAAACTCACCCAATCCCATCATTTAACGTCACAAAACTCACCCAATCCCATCATCTCACAACACACAACTCACCAAATCCCATCATCTTGCAACACAAAACTCACCCAATCCCATCATCTAACAACACAAAACTCACCCAATCTCATCTTCTAACAACACAAAACTCACCAAATCCCATCATCTAACAACACAAAACTCACCCAATCCTATCATCCAACAACACAAAACTCACCCAATCCCATCATCTAACAACACAAAACTCACCCAATCCCATCATCTAACAACACAAAACTCACCCAATTCCACAATGGGCAAAAACACAGTGGGTAATGATATTACAAAGTGTATTAAGTGGCAATACAATGGGCCATATACAGCGGCAGCAATAACAAGTGTTGGTGACGGGTGTCGAATGATGATCAATGGTAAAACATACGTAGTTTTTATGGGCGTCTAGACTTCACCAATACTGCCAGATGGAAGAGCGGCTTTATAAATGTGGGCCCACAGGCCGTGTTTCAGCAGACACAACATAGTCCTGATTGTATTCACTTGACATAGGAGTTGGTTTGTTTGTTGTTTAACGCCGGACTCAGCAATATTCCAGCTATATGACGGCGGTTTGTAAATAATCGCGTCTGGACCAGACAATCCAGTGATTTACATCATGAACATCGATCCACGCAATTGGGATCGATGACATGCATCAACCAAGTCAGCGAGCCTGACCACCCGATCCCGTTAGTCGCCTTTTACGACAAGCATAGTCGCCTCTTATTGCAAGCATGGGTTGCTGAAGACCTATTCTACCCCGGATCTTCACGGGTCTTGACATAGGAGGAGTTTATAGCCATCAGTGGGTGTATTCCTGAGCATACCCGGTATATATTGTAGATGTCGCTATGATGTAACTCAACATTGCTAAGGGCCTATCGTAGTAATCATATATACTTTCATTGTCAGCTTCCGTTTCCTGTATACGATTTGGTTGGTTTGTTGTTTAACCCCGCACTCAGCAATATTCCAGCTATATGACGGTGGTCTGTAAATAATCGAGTCTGGACCAGACAATCCAGTGATTAATATCATGAGCATAGATCCACGTAATTGGGATCAACCAAGTCAGCGAGCCTGACCACCTGATCCCGTTAGTCGCCTCTTACGACAAGCATAGTCGCCTTTTAGACCTATTCTACCCCGGTCCTGTATAAGAGAAATGTTTTTTGTCATACAACAACAACATAGTTATGTCTTATTGTTGATATAAATGCGGTGTTTAATATGCATTTAATTCACGCTCGCGTTAATTTCAAGATTTACAGTATATACGAACACAATACTTTTAAAACGTCGGCGGGATATGAGTGAGTGAGTGAGTTGGGTTTAACGCCGATTTTAACAGTATTCCAGTTATATCACGGCGTGTCAGCTTAATGTGGGGTGCTTTCTGTGGCAATGCACGTTCCAGGCTTCTTGTCATCCGTGGCAACCTCAACGCTGCTACTTACTGCGACGAGGTACTGGCACCAGAACTTCTGCCTTTTATGGCAGCACATGGACCCGGTTTGATCTTCCAACGCGACAATGCCAGACCCCACACAGCAATTTTGACAAGGAATTTCCTTCAGAATGCGGCCGTCAAGGTCTCCCGACCTCAATCCCATCGAACACGTCTGGTGTGCTCTTGGCAGAAGTCTGCGCACTCTCCAGAACCAACCACAGAATTTGCAAGATCTTGGCACCATTTTGCAGCAACAATGGCGTCGTCTTCCCAATCATGTGTTCACAAGCATCACAAGGTCCATGCGGAGGCGTTGTGTGGCAGTTGTCAACGCACATGGTGGCCATACACGCTACTGAACTTGTGTGCCATCAGATTCTCGTGCTTGGGACTTATGATTTAAACTGTTGATGTTATTACCGAATACCGTAGGTGCTTGGGACAAATTATGGTTACCACCGTTAATTAAAATCCTTCTTTGGACATTAATGATTAAAAATTACCTTCTCTGATACATTTGTCAATTGTATATCATATATGGGATTACTTTTAAAAATGTGAAGTTTTTACTTTGACTCAGTATATGACTAAATTCACTTTATTTAAACATGTTTAAATGTGCTTAAATTCTAAACATGTTTCGATTATTGGGATGTGTTGGCTGTGAAACGACAGCTGATTTCACGTGTTAGACCCTTAACGTGTTCAGATGGAACACGCCAAATGTGTATTCCGTTTTGGATTTAAACACATTCCAAATCATGTTTGGATCTTAACATGTCTTGTACGTGTTTACATTCTAAACACATTTTACACTGTGGTGTCCCCCGCCATGACATTGCTGGAATATTGCTAAAGACGTTGTAAAACAATATTCACTCACTCAGTATCAATATGTCGAAAACACTAACATAGATCAACAGTGGTAGTTGTGTTAATGCGTCAAAAGTTGATGCGTTTGCACAACGCTTATTGTGCTATCTTCTGAGGTTTTCCTAATTTTGATGCGTTTACACACCGCTTATTGTACTATTTTATGCTGTTTTCTTAAACCTCATGTTACGCAGTTTAGTATTTAAGCCCTAAGTGATGTTGAATATACATTTGCTTAAGACTTTGGTAAGCTCTCCAATCTTTTATGGATGTAAATGTCTCATTGACTTTTTCCTGGAGCACTGAAAATTGGCAATTAGACTACCATTTAGATTGAGAACGACGCTGGGTTTATAATCGATTATACCCTTCCAGCCCTCCTCCAATGACAACGGGCAAGTACACTACCATTAGTGTTAATGTGGCAGATAGTCAGCCATTTATTTAGGGTTTGATGTGCCATGAGGATGAAGAACCGACTCGGTGTGATGTTCCTCTGTCTGACTTTCAGAACCTCAGCCACCCAGTGTGGGTAAGTACACCTCCATGATCACGTCCAAATCCCCTTCTGTTTTTTCTTGTATAACTCGGGGAACTTTTTTTTCAAATGCATTGAAGGAAAAGCTGTTGTGAGGAAATCAACGTCCTTATAGACGTAGTGATAGGACGGCGGTTCAAAGTCCGAGTTTCTCTCTCACAATTGTCGTGTTTAGAATTAAATCATCTTCCCGAGGCAAGGGAGTTAACTGACTATAAAAGTCCAGTGTCCACCCTTGCCAAAGTAGGCTGGAAATCCGGAGTTATGTTTTGGCTGGACTAACGAGTCTATGCATTGTCCAATCAAAATCGCGTAACGAACTAGACATCCGGTTCGTAAACAGCATGGATTTAAGCTGCAGATTTCGCTCGACTGCAGGATTTGCAAAGAGTTTCCAAATCTTTTCAAGATTTTAATCAAGGTGCCCGAGTGGTTTGATGTACTTCGCGTGGTGAGACCCGTTTTGTTATAATATAGTTCTTGATTATCAATCAGATCGTCCTTTCGGTTTGAAGCAAATGCAAGTGGTATGAGAGGTGAAATCTGATTGGTCAGTAGAAAGGACATAGAAAGGGCATAACTCGTGAAAGCCAATGTTGGCGCTACGATCGAGCCAGGAAATTCCATTCTGGTTCGCAGGGGTGAAAACTGGACTTTTATAGTCAATTAACTCCCTGCCTCAGGAAGATGGAAATAAATAAACGGCGGGCAGAAGTTACTTTTTTAATTCTATTCTTTTAATGTTTGAATTTACTCGAATATTCAAATTGACGCGAATTGAAGTCTGTTTTAATCAAATTTCTGCGCTTGCACACCAAACAGTAAATCCGTGTGACTGGATTTCTGGTCCATCACGTGATTGTCTTGTTATTTTACATCCTGCCGTTGTATGGCAGGAACACTGCCGCGCCATGTACTTTTTTAAACTAACTATTTTCGCGAACACCTGGTGTCAACACTGTTTTCGTTTATCAATTCACATAATTTTAACCGCTATTTTGGCTTTTACGTCCAACTGAATCTGTACCGGTGGAGAATAAAGTTTGGTTATATTTTATATTCACTGACGAGAATCCCTATTGATGCTGTTCACAAATCTTTATGATTCTTGAAAATATAATTGCCACAGTTCCATATGAAGTAAGACATTCATAGAATAAAATGTTTGGACCACTTCTGGTGGTAAATACTATTTGACAAAATGCGGGGGCACGGGTGGCCCAGTCGTCTAAGGCACCGCTATTCGCTGTGCAGAGTTGCGTCCCTTGGGCATGCCAGAAACCTATGGTTGTGGGTTCGAATCCCGGTTCACCCCGATTATGTTTTTAGGTTTTGTCCGCACCGTACCCGTGCTCGTGGGTTTCACGGAAGTGGTAAACGTTTGATACCTGCATCACTTCGGGCTTTCCTCCCACATTAAGCTGACACGCCGTGATATAACTGGAATACTGTTAAAAGCGGCGTTAAACCGAACTCACTCACTCACACTCTACCGTACAATCGTTCAGCCAATTCTACCATTTGCTATTTCAATGGCCTTCTTGGTTACTTTTGCAAACCAGTTACACGTTCGTTCCTCTAAATAGACTGGTTCCACAACAGCGTTACCATCTCCTGTCGGAGTTCAACAACTTGAACATGACCAACGCTCAGTGCATCTCCGAACTCAAGCCAAGGACACTACTCACCTGTGCTCGAGCATGTCTCGACACCAACAACTGCACCATGTTCAACATCAACAACAACGACGGCCAATGTCTGCTCTTCTCGGCGACCTTTCTTTCTGAGATAAACAGTAGTCCCCTCGATGGAGCCCGGATGTATGGACGTGTCTCGGGTAAAGAATGGCAAATGTTAAGAGCTGATTACAGTAAACTACGGTTTTAGTTCGTTATAAGTATATAGCATATAAGCATACTGTAAATGGTCGGGACTAAAACATAAGTTCGTTATATAGGTCAGTTCGTTATAAGCGTGTTCGTTATAAACGTAGTTTACTGTAAATGTTTAATGTCTGTTGTGAAGACGTGTACTTCGTTTAAATCGTATATGATAAGAACATGGCACATGCTAATTGAGAAAAGGATGTCATTTATTCAAATACGTGAATGGTCCCAGTGCCCCGTGCTCCCATGCGAGCACAAAGCATACAGCGTCCAGAGGAGGTGAGGTGAAATGGGGTTTAACGTCGCGTCCAAGATTATTGCACTTATATAGCGACGTGCATGCACGTGTATGTGTGTGTGTGGCTGCTTGTACTAGTCCGGACTGATGCCGATTTATAGTGCTAGCTCACTGAGATACCATGCCGCAGTTTAACATGAATACCCCACTCAGACACAGTATACTGACTCCGAGCCGACCAGTCCTTGTTTTAGCCCCTTAATGCCGAGCGCCAGACAGGGTAACAACAAGTACAATCTTTAAACGTCTTTTTGTATGACGCGGCCCGGGATCGAACCCTGGACCTTCCGCTCTCCGGGCGGACGCTCTACCACAAGACCACGGAGGCGGTCCGCGTCCAGAGGACCATTACTGGTAAGGTCTCATGAAGATATAGGCTTTAGCTCATTGTTCAGAAGACCAGTGTTTGATGATTCAGTCTGATACAAAGAGTGAAGCCCTTACTTTGTGTCTCACAATATGGGCAGTGGTATAACGGTGAAGCATTCGCTCGTCACTTTGTTTGTTTGTTTCTTTGTTGTTTAACGCCGCACTCAGCAATATTCCAGCTATATGATGGCGGTCTGTAAATAATCGAGTTTGGACCAGACAATCCAGTGGTTGACATCATGAGTATCGATCCACGCAATTAGGATACGATGACATGCATCAACCAAGTCAGCGAGCCTGACCACCCGATCCCGCTAGTCGCCACTTACGACAAGCATAGTCGCCTTTTACGGCAAGCATGGGTTGCTGAAGATCTATTCTACCCCGGATCTTCACGGGTCTTACGAATATAAGGATTGGCAGAGGACTTGGGTATTGCAATTTCATTTAGTTGAGCTGAAATCTTGAAAACATGGTAGAAAGAGCATGCTACCCCGGATCTTCACGGGTCTCGTCACTTTTGATTAGGTGTGCAAATACCAACCTGTTAATGAAGATATAAAACTCTATTAGATGTCAACGGCTATTGGAAGACATTGCTGGTCCTGTCTTGTGTCCGGAACATCTTGTGGGTTCGAATTCCAAATTAATTCCCAAACAAATCTTGAATCTTTCGTGGGTTGCAGCAAGATGTAAACAATCTAAGCTGCACAGCTGGGCTTTCATTTCACAATACAGTGACACATCGTGACACAGGGTTAAAATCCTGGCTCCTCGCTACACACTTTGAAATTATCATATTTAAGTGAGTGAGTGAGTGTGTATGTTTTTACGCCGCTTTTAGCAATATTCCAGCAATATTACGGCGGGGGACACGGTTGGGAATCGAATCCGGGTTATCGGCGTGACGAGCAAACGCATTAACCACCGGACTACCCCACCACCCCTTATCATATTTAAAGGTGAGAAGTGCCATATAACAATATATATGCGACTGGTAACCACTTTGTGTTCGTTGTCTGACTGTCTGTTACAGACACATGCCCCCTCGCTGACGGCTACGTTACATTTGACAACCCGACTGCATGCTACAGACTATCTCTGGTCAGGAAGACGTGGATGGATGCTAAGGCTGATTGTGAAGGAGATGGAGGTCACCTGGTTGTTCTGGAAGACGTGGACAAGCAGCAGCAAGTGATGGAAGCCACTGCCGCCATCAGGGGTGAGTTTCCATCGATGTCATAATAAAAATAATTTCTACACCAAGTAAGTACTAACATACGTCGATAAAGATATTCAATATACGGTACTCTCCTTGTGAGGTTAACTGCTGTGGAACAGAGAGTCAAACCTTAATGATAGTATTTGAAACCTCTAGACAAACAAAAATGAGCTGAAGATCCGGGGTTGAACAGGTCTTCACCAACCCATGCTTGTCGTAAAAGGCGACTATGCTTGGCGTAAGAGGCGACTAACGGGATCGGGTGGTCAGGCTCGCTGACTTGATGCATGTCATCATTGCGTGGACCGATGCTCATGATGTCAATCACTGGATTGTCTGCACGAGACTATTATTTATAGACCGCGGTCATATAGCTGGTCAATTGCTGAGTGCGGCATGAAGCAAAAAAAACAAACAAAAAAGATAATGAGCTGCATAAATGAATATTGTGATCGATGATTACAGGAAGCTAGAGAATATTAAACTTTCATATTTTCATATCCTTATTTGCAGACACAGAAGCTGTTTTTGTTGGCCTTGGTGACATTGATGCGGACGGGAAGTATGTATGGGTTGATGGCAGGGATCTCGTAAACCCCTTCTGGGATTCGGGGGAACCAACCCTATTTGGGAATAAGCACTGTGCTGTTCTGTATAACCACGGGCTCCATGCCTCTAACTGTGACATACCCTCGTATTACATGTGCCAGATTGACACTACGATGATGGTAAAGTGGAAGCCATTCCTGATGATGTTTTCTTCTTGAGAGATGGTTATAGTTACAGAGTGGACTGAGAATCCCAACAGCAGGTTAAGCCCTACGTTTGTGAAGTACAGTAAAGTACGGTTATAACGAACTCAAAGGGATTACTTATTTTAGTTCGTTATAACCGTAGTTCGTTACAAGCATATACACAGTATAACTACAGCAAATAGTCGGGACCAAAAAGTAAGTTCGTTATATCCGTCAGTTCGTTATAAGCGTGTTCGTTATAACCGTAGTTTACTGTAGTTTAAGTAATGATAATTAAAGTGGAACCTATTTATGTGCAGAACTGTACCGGCGGACACATGTCAACAATCTTCATTGTCTGAGTTCAAGTCCTGTAACTGTGTTCATCGTATCCATAAACATTGAAACAGTGGAACTACATGTATACAATACCAACAAATATAACTGTAAAATTGATTTTTGGGGTGTTGCAATGAAGACACGAAAAGGATCAAGGTCTTATGCTCCAAATGTGAAATTCTATTGATGGTATAATATTTAGTTTTTAGATTCTTGTTTTGTTGTCTTGGTTGAATGTCATGTAACCTGAATGTGTTATTCCTAAAAACGCCTGGGAACCGTTTCAAAATGGAATTGATTAAAGGTAACGAGGACATCGACATACATCCTCAAAACTAATAAACGTCTATTTTGTCAATATATTTTATACCTCTTGTTGTTTTGGCATGTCTGTGTTGACAACAGTTGCACATGTCTGCATTAAGTTTATCTTGATAAGAATATGGCTCGATAACATACATTTTCATCTGTATAGATTGATCTGTAGAGGAATAATACAATGGATTGACTGTGTTGATATAAACTGACGATCATAAGAAAGTATATCGATCAGTTTAAAAAAACAACAACAAAAAACACATGTTGATGCAAATGTTGTATTACGAAATTACAATGTGTCGAGATATAAACTCATTATTGACCAACCAGTGGCAACATCACTGATACCACACAGCACTGGGAGTAAAATGTGAGATTTTACAGATTACGTTGAATGTGATGGTATATATATATATATATATATATATCATCACATTCAACGTAATATATATAGCAATATTCCAGCTATATGACGGTCTGTAAATAATCGAGTCTCGACCAGACAATCCAGTGATTAATATCATGAGCATCGATCCACGCAATTGGGATCGATGACCTGCATCAACCAAGTCAGCGAGCGTGACCACCCGACCCCGTTAGTAGCCTCTTACGACAAGCATAGTCAGGGTCAAAGTAACAGTAGTGATTGTAGGACGCTTCCAAACGATGTCAGTTTAAAATACAATGCCGCTTCTCATGGCTGTGATAACTTCATCAGTTTCATATTTTGGAATATATCTGGTATTACACTGACGGAAAAAGAAGGTGACTTCCTTGATAATGCCATGTCTTTTGATAGGTTCTACTGAAATTTAAATGAAATATAAAAAGATTATGAAATCATCGAAAAATGCAGAGAAAATACCCAACAATGGAAGAATTTCTGCGGTGATACCAATATTACTAAAACAAAAGTTTGTTTATTATCTCAAATGGCCAAAGATCACAGAAAATTGTTTGGTCTTGATTTAGACTTACTTGATTCTCGGCGTTCATCCACCCAGAGGACTCAACCAGATAGTTAATATCGTCAAAATGGAATTACCTTAATCCAAGAGAGACTGTCAGAGATTTTTACCATGCGTGTATATTTTAGGTTGTTGTTGTTTTAATGCTCGGATGGGCACCAAGCCTGATTTAGTGGGTAATGATATAATGTGACACACTCAAGGCTAAAATCACTCACTTTGAGATTTCTCCTTGATTGCTTTAATTCGCAGCGTTTCTCTGCCGACTCAATTGTATAACGTGTTGGCAGATGTCTAATTGTCTAAATATTCATACTGCCCCGAGAAGATGCGGGTTAGAATTGGTCTTCTGCAGCCCATGCTTGGCGTAAGATGCGATGTACGAGATCCGGTGGTCAGGCTCACTGTCATCGTATCCCAATTGCGTAGCTCTGTGCTCATGATGTTAATCACGTGAAACCCACGAGCACGGGTATGGTGCTGACAAACCTAGAAACATAATCGGGGCGAACCGGGATTCGAACCCACAATCACAGGTTTCTGGCGTGCCCAGGGGACGCAACTCTGCACAGCTAATCGCGGCCTACCGTGCCCCCTATTGAAAAAGGAAAAAGATGTAGGTCTTTAAATAAGTTACATAAGAAATTATAAGGACATCACATCTTTTGAAGAGTACAACTGCATTATAAATGTATGACGCTACATGTAAAAAGAAGAGATATGATTTCTTCCAACAACAAAAAACAACAAAGCACCGGCGGTAAATTCTATAATTCCTGATTCAATTTGATGTAAAAGGGAGTAAACAGTTTGACAAAGAAAAAGTACATCTGTTTGCATGAAATTAATGCACCCAATGTCAAGGTATATTTGGTTGGTTGCTTTGTAGTTTAACGCCGCACTCAGCAATATTCCAGCTATATGACGGCGGTCTGTAAATAATCAAGTCTGGACCAGACAATCCAGTGGTTAATATCATGAACATCGCTCCGCGCAACTGGGATACGATGACATGCATCAACCAAGTCAGCGAGCCTGACCACCCGATCCCGTAAGTCGCCTCTTACGACAAGCATAGTCGCCTTTTACGGCCAGCATGGATTGCTGAAGACCTATTCTACCCCGGAATCATCACGGGTCGTCAAGGTATAGATGTCCTATGTATATATGTACGTACATTCAGGTTATTAAGTACTGGTTGAGACTACCAGATTTACCTTCATATAGATCTCCCAAACATGAATCGTCAACGATAGAGTACAACCATTATCCACCGAAACGAAGTCGAAATAGCGAAATTATAATGAATAAAACCCTGAACACCAGTGATGACATAAGTGGTCGTGAAAAGGGTAAATATGTACCGCCCCACAAGTAGCACCCGCCACTCGCACAATCTGCATAAAGGAGTATTTGTTTCTTGCCTTATGGGGGCGGTCGGGTAGCCTAGTGGTTAAAGCGTTCGCTCGTCACGCCGAAGACCCGGGTTCGATTCCCGACATGGGTACAATGTGTGAAGACCATTTCTGGTGTCCCCCGCCGTGATATTGCTGGAATATTGCCAAAAGCGGCGTAAAACCATACTCACTCACTCACTCACTCTTGCCTTATGCCGCATAGCCCAACTCCTGCCGTGCAACGGCGGCTTGTTAAATGACCAGACAATCAAGTGATGGACCAGATAATTCAATGACACCATAACGCATTTATTAATTTTAATTTTTACTGTCTGCAGAGATTTTGTTGCGTATAAGAAAAGAAAAAAACGTTCAAGAAATATGTTCGTTTTGCAACACAGTGGGGGCAGTTTTATGTCTCGGCATAGATAAATGCAACTGAGCTTATGATAGAGCTCGTGGAAGTTTGATTCGGACTATATTTACCCAAACACAACACATGTGCAAGGAAGACTAGCATGTATGACCATTGAAGTTTAAAGATTTCAAAAAGCGCCAGAAGACTCATTTGATCAAGGTTACAGTAAAGCTTTCAAAAAGTTTAAAAAAAGAAATGTGGAGGGTATTTCAATATTCGACGCATCGGTGACCGATGCAATTCCCTATTTTCACTTGTACAGTATATTCCTCTGTTCTTCAGGTGAACAATTGACTTGCCGTTGCATGTGTTTGTGACGGGTGCTACCAGTGAGGCAGAACTTGCTCACCTTTCGCGAACACCAGATGTATCACTATTTAGACACACACTTAGGGTATAGTCGGAATCCTACAATGTACTTTTTATCAGATATTTCTTGTGCATATGGTGAGGGTTTTGTCGCTTTATATTCTCGACTCAAACAGTACTTGATCTTAGTGGATGCGGGTGTACTAATTGTCCCACTTAGAGACTGGTCAATATATCCATCAGCGAGGGATTCAAAGTCTTCAATGGAAGCTTTCATGAACGTACGAGTATACAACAGTCACAGAGGTTAATTGTGTTAATGCGTCCGACATTCCATTTCTTTGCACAACGCTTACAGACATATCTCTTGCTTCATTCAAAATGACATTAGTATGTAAGAGTTAAGTGGACGCTGATTAAATGTCACAGGCCACAGGCCCATAGAACATGACATTACAGAATACAATTACTGATAAAGTAACTTATACAATTTCATTGCATTCAATGTGAATTTCGATAGCTGTACAATAGTAGGTTTATGATTAGATCAGACGAACAAAGGATTCCAGTGGATTTACAAAGTATTTAGGATCACTGTATCGATGTCTTAAATAATAAAAAGCAGGGTATACAAGTGCAAAATGAGGTTCATTTTCCACTAGACAAACATTTAATCGAAGACAATATCTACACAAGCGACATTCTGGATCGATGCCTTTGCGTCTGCCTATTTCGATCATCACATCTAAATCTTGACAGTTTCAATAGTGTAGAGTCGACTTGTGTAAGATATACTTGGTCTGTAAAACTGATTTGTTAAAATAATAATAATAAGTGCATTTATATTGCGCCAGATTCCATTCACCAAGTGGATGCTCATAGCGCTACACTATTATAACCCCGGTCAATGGACTCGATTTTCATTCTCAGCTCCCTGGGGAGTATACAACCCAAAGCTGGCTGTAAGGCAGTAGAAGGTTAACAGCCACATTACCATCTCATCCTACCGGGTACCCACTCACTGCTGGGTGAACAGAGGCACATTTCGAACAAAGTCACTTGCCTAAGGAGACACCACATGTGGTACATGTGCTTCAGTGTGGGGCAGGACCGAAGCCCTAGAAACTCTCAGGAGCCAAGCTGCTGAACGTGGTCACCCATCCAACTACTCTCCGACACCGACGTTGCTGAACTTCACCTGATTTGGGATCTATGCGCTGTGCACAGGACCACGTGCCACCCCGTAGGTTGAATATGCCATTAGCTTTGGATTTGAGGATATTGATGAATGCCATCGTTGGATGTTGTAATCGGATACACGTTGCTTTAACTTAGATATAAAAAGATAAACATTTCCAACATCTTGCATAATCCAGGCATAGCCAAAGCCAAACTGGAATAAGATATGTTTTATTTTAGTGGCCCAGGAAGTTCTGTTTACGCAGTCCAATCCATACAGCACTATCCATCACTTGCTTGATTAAGGTGTTAGGATCGACACCGATCGCGAAACGTCGCATTAATTGTAATAAAGAAGTTGTTCATCCATAGAATTTGTCTTTCTTCATCAAACCAACTTCTAAATTCCACTGAAAGAAGTTAGCATTAGATACGTTTGCCTCGGAAGTCGGCCATTATTCATAGTGACTAGTTTGCCCAATATTTTACACATTTTGTTACATGAATTAGAAATAATAGAGGTCGACCACTTTCTCCAAGAACAGCATCATTACAAGCACTCAGAGGCAGATACAGAATTCTTTTTATATACTTAGTCTGAACTCTGTCAAATTGATCCACGACTTCGTATCCCAAAAGTTCGGAGCCGTATGTTAGGATGGGCAGAACAATGCTATCAAAAATCGTTAGTGCAGTCGTAATTAGTAAGCCAACACACAAATTAACTGTCAAGTGTTTGTTAAATCTCCAAAACCTAATAACGTTTTATTAATTGAACCATATTATCGATATTTTCGCAATTTGCAATTAGCTGTCCATTTAGAGGGGTGTAGAATCTATAACCTGGCCAAGGCAATACACCTACTACTCATTAGTAACTCAAATAGCCACGGAGTTGAGGTGGTAGAAGGATGGAAAACCGACTCGGTCTGATGTTGCTCTGTCTGACTTTCAGAACCTCAGCCAACCAGTGTGGGTATGTATACCTCCATGATCACGTCCAAATCCCTTTCTATATCCATTTCTTATAATTAACGTGTGGTCAAATTCATTCAAAGTAAAGCTACTACGAGGAAATCAATGTCCTTGCATACTTGGTCAAAGTACGGCAGTTCAAAGTCTATCTAATAAATGTCATGTGTAGAAATATATTGGAGAAAGAAACTTTACAATTCCTTTCAGGGGGCACGGGTGGCCCAGTCGTCTAAGGCGCCGCGATTCGCTGTGCAGAGTTGCGTCCCTTGGGCACGCCACAAACCTATGATTGTGGGTTCCAATCCCGGTTCGCCCTGATAATGTTTCTAGGTTTGTCAGCACCATACCCGTGCTCGTTGGTTTCGCCGAATGGGTAAACGTCTGAGACCTGCATCACTTCGGGCTTTCCTCCCACATTCAGCTGACACGCCGTGATATGACTGGAATACTGTTAAAAGCGGCGTTAAACCCAACTCACTCACTCACTTACTACAATTACTTTCATTTTCTAATATATTTTTAAAAGAAATATGAACTGTCAAACTTACAAGAATAGCCCTGACTGACTGCATGTATGCAAGAATACAGTGGAAGCCGGCTTATCCTGATCCCAGGTACCCGGCCACTGGCCTACTGGACAATATTTACGTGAAGCGAAATAAATGCAACGTTAAAACGTTTATGTTTATCTATAAATTAATGGTTCAAGAATGAATACAATTAAAGAGGAACCGTTCCAGTACAGTTCCTACATTGAAGTCAGAGGTTCAAGGAATCGTTTCATTGGATCAGTGCCTAGTGGTTAAAGCGTTCGCTCGTCACGCTGAAGACCCGGGTTCGATTCCCGACATGGGTACAATGTGTGAAGCCCATTTCTGGTGTCCCCCGCCGTGATATTGCTGGAATATTGCTAAAAGCGGCGTAAAACCATACTCACTCACTCACCCATTGGATCAGTTGGTTTTGTTACATATAAATACAAATTAAATTATTTTTGAAAGTATTTGTAGCTCTCCGGTGTGATACCCACTTGTTCACCCATGTCTGCCATTAGCTATTTATATGTTAAGGTAAAATGGAAATGACCCCCTTGGCTAATTTTGCAAACCAATAACACGCTCGTTCCTCTACATAGATTCTACCAACAGCAGCAGAGTTACCATCTGCTGTCGGAGTTCAACAACTTGAACATGATAAACCCTCAATTCATCATCGAACTCACACCGAGAACAGAATTCACCTGTGCTCGAGAATGTTACTACAACAACAACTGCACCATGTTCGACATCAACAGCGACGACGGCCAATGTCTCCTGTTCTCAGCGTTCTTTCCTTCTGTGATAAGCAGTAGTACACTCCATGGAGCCAAGCTGTATGCGCGTGTCTCAGGTAATGTACTGGAATTTTTTAAATTTTGTGAGTGAGTGAATGTGTCGGTTTAAAACTAGCCTCCATCATTTAGTGGACGAAGCGTCTGCCAGAAGGTCGGGGGTCCGCTCGCCGGCCGCGTCATAGAAAAGATTTTAAAAGACGGTACTTCTTGTTACCTTGTCTGACGCATTGTTGTCATACTGTCATCGGCATTAAGGGCATAAACCATGGACTGGTCGGCTCGGAATCACTATACTGTCGGGGGCACGGGTGGCCCAGTCGTCTAAGGCGCCGCGATTCGCTGTGCAGAGTTGCGTCCCTTGAGCACGCCGGAAACCTATGATTGTGGGTTCGAATCCCGGTTCGCCCCGATTATGTTTCTAGGTTTGTCAGCACCATACCCGTGCTCGTGGGTTTCACCGAAATGGTAAACGTCTGAGACCTGCATCACTTCGGGCTGTCCTCCCACATTAAGCTGACACGCCGCGATATAACTGGAATATTGTTAAAAGCGGCGTTAAACCCAACTCACTCACTATACTTTCTGTAAGTGGGATATTCATGTTAAACTGCGACATGGCATCTCATTGGGCTAGCACTATAAAATCGGCATAAGCCTGGACTAGTACAAGCAGCCACACACACACACACACACACACACACACACACGTTTATACACGTCGCTATACAAGTGCAAAATGCTTGAACGGGACGTTAAATCCCATTTCACATCACCTGACCGAAGGCTTATGGACGAGCATTACGAACAGTGTGAATCATATCCAGTAGCTATAGGTCACATGGCTACATAGCCTGCTGTCAATGTTTGTGATTTATCTGTCATATTCATGATCTAAAACTGAAGGCGAGGTGTTTTTCATTTCACCTTCATAACTTCAAAAGTTCATATAGACATTTCCTTTTACTTATGGAATGATCAAACAAGACACATACCCCTGTAACTGTCAGTTTAGTACGCGACACAAAAACATACACACATGTGTGCTGGTCCAAAAGTTGTAGTGAGTGACTTTGGTTTAACGCCGCTATTAAGAGTATTCAAGTTATATTGAGGCGTGTCAGCTTAATGTGGGAGGAAAGCCCAAAGTGATGCAGGTCTCAGACGTTTACCACTTCGGTGAAACCCACGAGCACGGGCATGGTGCTGACAAACCTACAAACATAATCGGGGCGAAAGCGAATTGCGGCGCCTTAGAGGACTGGGCCACACGTGCCCCTCCCCTAAAAGTTGTAAGCCCGACTTACTTTACAGAGTTGGCCATAACAAAGTGAACTGGTCAATGTCGTACATTGTTTGAGTAGTTCATTGCAAGTGTTTTTGGTCTGTTGAGGACGTTTGTATTTTAGTGACAGCCAGTTGAACGTGATAGGGGTCCAAATGGACACAGAGATGAAAACGAACGAGTACCGAGCAGTCATCAAGAGAAAAGAATCCCCCAGACATTCATGACCGCATGTCACAAGTGTATAGGGATAAGTGCCCTGGCTATGCCACTGTTAAACGTTGGGCAGCTATGTTTAAGGCTGAGAGAACAAGCCTTGATGATGACCCTGGTCAAGACGTCCCTCAATTTCCATCAATGAAGATTCAATCACGGAGAGGGAAAAACCTTCAATAGACAGATAGACGTATTACCATTGTTGAATTTGAGGAAGATAGGTCTTGGCCATGGATCCATTGAAACTATTATTCATGAACATGTACAGATGACTAAGCTATCTGTTCGTTGTGTGCCAAAGTTTCTAAAATCTGATCTGAAGGAAAAAATACCTGACATTGCCCAAGAAAATTTAGAGCTAATTGATGAGGTTTTCGTCAAATTAAAAAAAGAGATAAGTAACGTTGGTTGGTTGGTTGGTTGTTTAAGGCCGCACTCAGCAATATTACAGCTATATGACGGCAGTCTGTAAATAATCGAGTCTGAAACAGACAATCCAGTGATTAATATCATCAGCATCGATCCACGCAATTGGGATCGATGACATGCATCAACCAAGTCAGCGAGCCTGACCACCCGATCCCGTTAGTCGCCTTTACGACAAGCATAGTCACCTTTTACGGCAAGCATGGGTTGCTGAAGACCTATTCTACCCCGGAATCTTCACGGGTCAGATAAGTAACGAGTCATGAAAGATGGGTCTACCACTGTGATCCCGTGTCAAAACGTCAATCCATTCCTCTTCTCTTCTCCGGTACCAAAGAAATTGAAGTCTGGGATGCAAAGGGTGTGATCCTTTGTGATTACTTAGATCCTCTTCTTCGAGGTTTCTTGGTGTCCCCACCATATTTCTGCAATACTTGAGCATCCTAATGTCAATCTTCCAAAACGTAATGCTTGGACTTCACATGGCTTTAAGGGTCAATCAGATCTCTTGGTTGCAGATACATGCCCCCTCGCCAACGGCTACGTTACGTTTGACAACCCGACTGCATGCTACAGACTATCTCTGGTCAGGAAGACGTGGATGGATGCTAAGGCTGATTGTGAAGGAGATGGAGGTCACCTGGTTGTTCTGGAAGACGTGGACAAGCAGCAGCAAGTGATGGAAGCCACTGCCGCCATCAGGGGTGAGTTTCAATCGATGTCATAATAAAATAATTTCTGGGGTGCACGAGTGGCCCAGTCGTCTAAGGCGCCGCGATTCTCTGTGCAGAGTTGCGTCCGTTGGGCACGCCGGAAACCTAAGATTGTGGGTTCGAATCCCGATTCGCCCCGATTATGTTTCTTGGTTTGTCAGCACCATACCCGTGCTCGTGGGTTTCACCGAAGTGGTAAACCTGCATCTGAAACCTGCATCACTTCGGTCTTTCCTCCTACATTAAGCTGACACGCCGTGATATAACTGGAATAATGTTAAAAGCGGCGTTAAACCCAACTCACCCACTCACTGGAATGATCATGAACTGAATATCAGTTATTTCCCGGCCGGTTGTTTAATGTTTGAGTTGCTGAAGATTTACCACTCAGATTAGATTTCAGCCACCATACTATAAAACTCACGAGCAAGGTTGGTTGGTTGGTTGGTTTGTTGTTTAACGCCGCACTCGGCAATATGCCAGCTATATGACGGCAGTCTGTAAATAATCGAGTCTGGACCAGACTATCCCGTGATTAATATCATGAGCATCGATCCACGCAATTGGGATCGATGACATGCATCAACCAAGTCAGCGAGCCTGACCACCCGATCCCGTTAGTCGCCTTTTACGACAAGCATAGTCACCTTTTACGACAAGCATGGGTTGCTGAAGACCTACTCTACCTCGGATCTTCACGGGTCCGAATTCGTGATTCCAACCCACAGCCATATTATTCCGGCTTACCTGAAGCATACAACTCCATGAATGCAGTCCCTCACTAGGATTTGAATGAAAAAATAGCCGAAAGATAACTAAGCCATCCGGACCATCCAAAGACCATCCAGTCAGTGAGCTGGAAAATGTTATCCGACTCACACTTGTGTTATATCAGATGTAGTTACAAATGTTCTGCTACAGCTAATACTTACCAGCGTGAGTGTAACCACTATAGGACAGCGTGTCAGAAACCATACCCGTAATCAAGTTGGTTGGTTGGTTAGTTTGTTGTTTAACGCTGCACTCAGCAATATTCCAGCCATATGACGGCGGTCTGAAATTAATCGAGTCTAGACAGATAATCCAGTGATTGATATCATGAGCATCGATCCACGCAATTGGGATCGATGACATGCATCAACCAAGTCAGCGAGCCTGACCACCTGATCCCATTAGTCGCCTTTTACGACAAGCATAGTCGCCTTTTACGGCAAGCATGGGTTGCTGAAGACCTATTCTACCCCGGAATCTTCACGGGTGTGAGGCTGTTAGACAAACTGGAATAACCTCAACATCAGTCTGACTTCATCTGTCTCCATTAGTTTTAGAATTTAATATATTTTGTCTTTTGTGACATTTTCCTTTCCCCCTTCCATAACTGTTAACCATAATCGCGTTACCAGTCAGGGTATCAAAAGACCTTTCATTTGATATACAACGTCACAGTTGTAAGTAAGGTTACAATTTTCACAACTTTTTACATTGCTTGGATAATTATTTGGCCGCAATATTGCTTGTTTGATTGTTTGCAATTTAACGCCGCAAATAATCGAGTCTGGACCAGACAATCCAGTGATTGACATCATGAGCATCGATCCACGCAATTGGGATACGATGATATGCATCAACCAAGTCAGCGAGCCTGACCACCTGATCCCGCTAGTCGACTCTTACGACAAGCATAGTCGCCTTTTACGGCAAGCATGGCCTGCTGAAGACCTAGTCTACCCCGGATCTTCACGGGTCTCGTCACTTTTGATTAGGTGTGCAAATACCAACCTGTTAATGAAGTGAGTGAGTGAGTATGGTTTTACGCCGCTTTTAGCAATATTCCAGCAATATCACAGCGGGGGACACCAGAAATGGGCTTCACACATTGTACCCATGTCGGGAATCGAACCCGGGTCTTCGGCGTGACGAGCGAACGCTTTAACTACTAGGCTACCCGACCGCCCCTGTTAATGAAGATATAAAACTCTATTAGATGTCAACGGCTATTGGAAGACATTGCTAGTCCTGTCTTGTGTCCGGATCATCTTGTGGGTTCGAATCCCAAATTAATTCGCAAACAAATCTCCTATCCCAAAACTATTCAGTATGGGTGACTGTGTCAATGTGCCAAATTTGATGCTTTAACATTTCTTGAAACAATAATTTGGTTAAGCACCTTGACTATCAGTCCTGAGTCCATGAGCACAAAATTCATCCCAGAAGGCACAAGAGTGTTGAATCAAGTGTCAATGGCGTTATTGTTGGATTCATCTTGTACATTAGAGTTATTTTCGCTAAATCTGCTTCTACCCCATGTTTCAATGTATATCATTATTTGCAGGTGGGGAGGGTGTGTATGTTGGCCTTGATGACATTCATACAGAAGGAACGTACATATGGGCCGATGGCAGGAATTTCGTGAACACCTTCTGGGATGTTACCCAACCAACTCCAGGCGGCACTGAAGACTGTATGGGTCTGCACGGAGGCGGTCTCCACGACTTTCCCTGTGACACGGCCTTATATTACGTGTGCCAGATCGACATGATGGGGTCATGGTCAAACTAGAATTATTCATGGAGATGTTGTGTTCCGTATCAAATTACAGCCGTTTTTAGCAAAAAACAGTGTCAACAATGTCAATATTATTTAAGCATGCCACTTCACCCGAGAAAAACTGCAACTTATCGATGCGTATCTTCGACAGACAGCTATCAATGGATACTTAATATAAACGTATTTATATTTTTTCCCGAATATTTTGAATAAAACATGTAACAGTTATTGATCAACGCTATCCAACAATACTAGTGACAATGCAGAGGAGTTAAAAATCGTAATTCAATTATCAATATACAACAAAGGGAGATATTAACAGTTCTCAATTTCTGAATTAATTCACTTAAGCGGATCATAAAAATCTACATTTACAATGACAAATGAATGATTTTTTATTCGGGGTGAACCTAGGTATGTTCAAGTTTTGGTTCAAGGTATAACTTGCCATAAGCGGTTCATCATTTCTGTGGTCGATTTGCTTGTTTTCCCTTTGATGTTGCGTTTTAAAAATATGAACTTGTCAATATCTTCCTTTGAATTCTTTTATTTATTGAGTTAGTAGGAAAAACCCTATGTGCAACAAGAGAGAACGATTCTAGTGTTTGTTTCTTTCTTTCTTTGTTGGTTAACGCAACACTTAGCAATATTCAAGCTATACGACGCGGTGTGTAAATAATCGAGTCTAGACCAGACAATGAGGTCATGAGCATCGATCAACGCAATTGGGATACGATGACATGCATCAAACCAAGTCAGCGAGCCTGACCACCGATCCCGACGAGAACTAGCGAAGATATTGAAGCCGTTCATATTTGCTATCTTATGTTTGTAGATTTGTGTAAAAGAACGTGTCTGCATAAAGGTTTGGTATATTTTGTTTGTTCTTTCACGCCTCACTCTTGTAAAAAATCTAGACTGGACCAGACAATCAAGTGAGCAAGGGGTAGACTAGGTCTTCAGCAACCCATGCTTGCCGTAAATGGCGACTATGCTTGTCGTAAAAGGCGACTAACGGGATCGGGTCGTCAGGCTCGCTGACTGGTTGACGCATGTCATCGTATCCGAATTGCGAGGATTGATGCTCATGATGTCAATCACTGGATTGCCCTGTCCAAACTCGATTATTTACAGACCGCCGTCATATAGCTGGGATATTGCTGAGTGCGGCGTTAAACAACAAACCAACCAACCAATCATAACAATATTGATCAACAGATCAGTCCCCGATGAACCGTTTCATAGCAGTCATATAACATAATATATAGGCAGTGACGATAACACTACTGACTGTAGTCACGCAGAAGGTGAACGTGGCACGATCAACAAGAAATTCTTCCTGCAAATCAGCATCACCGCAGCTACCGTGCAGAAAAAAACAAGTCTCTTAAAAGACCCTGAAACAAATATGGCTTTTGTTTCCGCGACCACTACTGTAGCTAGCACACATGACAGTAGATTAGGCATGGAAATTTAAACCTTCCCTTCACATCCTGACAGTCGGGACACAATGGAAAAGTATCGATTTTACACAACGTTAATGCAAAGTAATGTATCTTTTGAACTTTTTCCATTGTCAGATACCAAAAACCAAATTGTATTCTGTACTTCCTTGACTACTAGCAATTATTTTGCTTTGTGTATTGTGAGAACCACTGTCAACGGTAGGCATGTACTGCCACCATTATGAGACTTAATCGAAGTTGAGTATACGCTGCACCGAACCGGCTCAAAGCATGATTAGTGGCTTGTGTATTGCGTTCTGTACAATAGTCAATAATACACACTACCACACGCGTGCTTAGATCCTTGTCGATCAGAATTAACGGCCTTAAGTAGACACCGTCGTTGATTAGTATTGACCAGGTAAAGGTAATTGTTACGTCAACGAGTTACAAATGGAGTATAAAATATCTGCGCGAAGTTCGCATCTGGAGTGAGAGGATTAGGTGAGAGGGGGGCGACAGGACTGGATATTCGAACACGCACATGTATGATTTCACAATGTGCAAAAAGCCTTATATATTTTTGCTGATTTGGATCGGTATCAATACCATATGTTCCTATGCTGAGGTATTTGATAGATACTCGGGTTACCATATTCTAAGCGGGATGTTAGAGTCTATACCTTGTGGGCCAACAGACTACTGCACAGTGACAAAATGTAGTAGTCACTGTCGCTGTAATGCTGCTTGTGTTGTCATCAACTACAACACAGTCACCAGCGTGTGCCAACTCCACGACGCCAGCGTTCTCTACAGCAACGCCACCGTCGAGGAGAACGTCCCCGAATGGATCATCCTGGAACCGCCGGACGGTAGGTGATCAGGAACTAACCATTTAAGAAAATTCACTAGCCCTTGCATGCGTTTGTGACAGGTGTCTCCGGTTGGGAAGGATACACTCACCTTTTCGCGAACACCATATAGCATCACTATTTGATAATGATTCTTAAACACATGCTTATGATATAGTTGGTTTGTTTGTTGTAATACTCCTGCTGTATGACGGCGGTCTGTAAATAATCGAGTCTGGACCTGATAATCCAATGATTGACATCATCAGCATCGATCCACGCATTTGGGAAAGGTTGACATGCATCAACCAAGTCAGCGAGCCTGACCACCCGGTCCCGTTAGTCGCCTCTTACGACAAGCATAGTCGCCTTTTACGACAAGCATGGGTTGCTGAAGACCTATTCTACCCCGGATCTTCATGGTAGTTTTAGTTGAGATTTCTTATGATTATGGAAATGCTTTTTGTCGCTTTTGTGGGTTTGGGGTTGAGAAGGGCAGTGTTTGTTAGTGATCGGATGTTGACGGGATGGGACGCGAGCTGTTTGATTGGGAGTGGGTTTACGACCGTCCCGGCGTGTTTTACAAATACTGGAAATAAGTCATTTTGCCTCAGGTTTTACATCCCTACAAATATTCTTCAATGACTGTCCCAAACATTTTGGGTTGTGTCCTCTTTTCAAGAAAAGATGTATGTGAATTGAAATCACAGAAAGTATTGGCAGAATTCAAATTGATTTGTTTATATTTTTGACCAAGAAATCTAAAAAAGGTATTTTGTTTAGCAAAATAAACACCAATCCAATTTAACACGTCACAGAAACAGATGGGAGGTAAGAGTTGTGTGCCTCTAAAGATATGGTATTTGAGAACACAGTCCAATTTTGCGGGATGCGTGGGATTTGTGGGAAAGGGCATTTAGGGAAGTGTTTGTTTCTTATGACCAGAATGCTTTTGGAGGGGAGCGGTAACGCGCCAGACACTATTTTTAACTTCCTATTGTTTCCTTGATGTCAAACCATACTTGCGACTTTTATATTAAGCAGTTTATCTATTGTTACGAGGTTAGTGAGTGATTGAGTTAAAATTTACCGTCAAAATGCCAATTTTTCAGCAACATCTTGACAAAAACTTAAATAATATATATATATCATAAATATATTTAGATTGAATAAAAACCTGTCAGCGATAGGCAGTAATTTATAACAATCAGAGCGTCGCTTACCAGATTATGAAAGTGACAGTCGGAATGTGATTTCTAATCATGCAACCTCGAAAATTTTAACACGGGGTATTCCGAACAATAGTTACGGGCTTAACGACTGAATCCATACAATCTAGACCATCTATTAGCCATTCCAGAATGTTCTTTTGTTCAGGTTTCAAATTTGTAATCGAGAATATGTCAAAATATGTTTCGAAGCGTAGTCGCCAATTTGAAATTAGGGCCGTAAAGCACGAGAAAGCTGCCATCTGATTGGTCATTCCATTGGTCGGTCAAAGTTCGCGCAAGGTCGGTTTGACCTGGCCCGTAATGGGATGTCCTCAGATCTTTGTTTAGCAGTAGCGAGAACTAAGATCTGATTTTAATGAGATTGGGTGGGTAAATCAGTGGAAGGGAACAGGCTATTTGATTGTTTAGCCACCAAAGTAAAATGATAAATACTACTTTTAACATTCTGGCAAGCGTAAAATGTTATTTGTAAGACGTGGATCTTAAATACCCTCTTAGGGTGACAATACTTTATCACTTCTTCAACCGAGTATACAACCACTAACAATCTTACTAATTAGCACAACCAATTATATAATAACACACTTTGAACATCAACATTTATGAATTAATTCTATTTCTTTTTAAAATCACATTAAATGAGAATGAAGATGACTAAAAAGTTCTTTGACTATTTTGACTCTGAAATATTTATACCTTGTGATGGACAAATCAATACAGTCAAGCAGGACGTGCATGAACGTAAATCTTTCATCACAAGGAATAGAAAAGGTGGTTTCTCACCTTTCAATAAATATTGATGAGGATATCTATCACGATCAATATGACATCGTCGCATTACGATCTCTTCTAACCTGGACTGACAACCCAAATAGGTAATTTATTGATACCCTCTTAGATGTCCCACTTCTGTTGCATAATATATCTGATGTAACATCTGTTCAAGAATTTATGATCGCTGTATGAAATTAGAAGTGGTATCTTAGAGTGCAGCTTTAGCTGCAGCATCAGCCATTGTGTTACCAATGATTCCATCATGGCTCCGTAACCAACAAACAACAATATCGTATTGGCCTGTATCAAAACCATTAAACAATTCAACAAAGTGGATGTGTACAAGACATATTCTTAATAGCCTGAAGGCAAGAAAGAGAGAATCTGAAAAACTTATGAACTATTAATGTTTAGATTGATTATTGATATATTTTATAGCTGTTAAAATGGCATTTGCTCGTGCTGTGAATTTGGAACTGTTTTCTGGTAATCTTAAGATATTGTTCTGGAACCAATGACTGTGGCACTAGGAACTGCGCCACCATCCTTGGATCCATACTGTAAATATAGCTTTATAAGTGTCATATGTGTTTCTTAATTGCTTGTATTCTTGTTGGTTAATTTGTTGGTTTGTATCTGATTTCTTTAGCATTATTAATGCAAGGTTCACCTTGGGCTTTAATAAAGGACGTTAAGGCGTGTGTATGGTCTAACAATCCTGTGTCTGAGGCATTCGATTGCCCTTTGGGTGTCAGGCAAGGCTGTGTACTTAGCCCGTTCTCTTTCCAGTTTGTTTATAAATGAAATAGTTCTTGAGATGGAAGGGGAGTGTCCGTTTGGTGTACAGCTCCATCCAGACATTATCAACATCCTTTTACTTCTATTTTCAGATGATTTGATACTCCTTGGTGCTAGTGTTTCTAACTTCCAGAAGAAATTAAGCGTCCTTGAGAATTTGTGTAACACCCGGAAAATGTCAGTTAATATGTCTTATACCAAAGTGGTTGTATTAAAAAATGGTGGTTGTGTGTCACGTTTCGAAAAAGTGGTTTTACAAAGGGAAAGGGTTGAAGATGTTTAGCGGCTATAATTACTTGGGTTTGTATTTTAATAATAGGCTTAACTGGTCTTAAACTCTTGATAAGATGCCCTGCAGGCGAAAAGGGTGTGGATAACTATCCTGAGAGGTATACATTCGCTACAACCTTTTTAACCAGATTTCCACTTCCAAATTTTCGATGCGAAGATCATGCCATTGCTTCCGTATGGTGCCGAGGTCTGGGGGTTTGAAAATGTAAAAAAAATGGAAACTGTGCAGTTATATGATTGCAAAAGGTTTTAGGGTTTAAAATTATCCGTATTAAATAATGATGTATTGGGCGAGTGTGGCAGATACCCCATTCGTGTATATGCTTTGACCAGATGTGTGAAATATTGGCTGAACATACTCAAGACTTCCGTTTACCAAGAAGTGCTACAATATGTTGTGCCTGTATGATGAACATGGTCGAGTCAATTGGGTAACTAAATTAAATAATAGCCTTTGTAAACTTGGGTTCGGAGATGTATGGATGTTTCATATGTATGGAAGCCGAAGGTCATCACCGATTATCTGGCCCTCTAAGTCCCCAGACATGTCCCCAATAGAGACTCTGAGGGATGTTTTTCTGGCGGAGAATGTACGCCAGAGACTCAGCACCCTAACGACGAGGCCCAGCTTGGGGTAGCTCTTCAGACGGAATGGCGGGTAATACCAATGGGAACCATACGCAAATTAATCAACAGTAGGCCATCAAGGTATCGTGTGGTTATATTGCCCAAGAAGGGGTACATAGCAGATATTGATCCATATGTGGTCGTGTCATTTGGGTAACTAAATTTAAGAATAGCCTTTGTAAACTGACTTCGGAGATGTATGGATGTTTCAAATGTATGGAAACCGAAACGTGGTGGGTTTTTTAAAAGACAACTTTCAGCAGATTTGGCATTGCGAACTTCCTGCAAGTTAAAAAATGTCAGATTATACTTTTTAAAACTTATGTTAAATGTGAACCTTAGTTGTCATTCTTTAATTCGCAAAATATTAAAACAACCTCACGAGATTCAGACTGAGTTGTCATACTTTGGAAATTGAGAATGGACGTCATTATAAAATTCCAAGAAATTTAAGAAAATGCAAACTTTGTAAATTAGACTGTGTTGAAACCGAGTACCACTTTCTGCTTATTTGTCCAACGCATGTCAAGTTTCGGCAACTATATCTCAAAGCAAAGTTCTAATGTAATCCTAACGTTCATAAATTTAACATGCTTCTGTCATCACCAGATACATATATTATTACACATCTAGCAAAATATCTATATTATGCAAATGAAGTAAAAAATGCGAAACTGAAGGTTTAAACCCGTCTGTACTCAAATTTAGTACACAAAGGTCTGTGGCCTATATGTATTGGAACAAAAATGATTGATTTGATTGTTCACCTTGGGCTTTACAATTTGCCAAGCAGGCGACGAAAAAGGTTGAGTGGGAGCTAAATCTTGTTTAATATATATTAGAAGCTGATTCCGAGTGGTGGAATCACAAGTGATGATTTCGTATTGTATATTTCCTCGGAGAGAGGATTAAATACGCAATAAAAAGCTGGATCTGACTGATTAGAATATAATTTGGAGATTCTAAGGATAATTTCCTACGGCTTCGTTTAAGGGATTGCTTATCTGCCTCAACATACAGATAATGTCCGAAAGGCTCCAAGGCAAAGCCTCAGTCTTTGATGATGGATAGTATCTAGTTTTTGTAAATTACTTTTACATACTCCACCATAGACGATGAAACAGTAATCAAGTCTAGAGCGGATCAGTGACCTGTACAAGTACACAAGGGTTGTCTGATCCTGTCCACAAATCAAGAGCATTCAAGCATTTAACTTTAAGGTATTTAATATGGCTATCAAAGATAAAGTCTCAAGAACTTCTCCTTTACAACTCTGAGAAGGGTGCCATTCAAAAATAG